AACAAATAGCACACCAAATACTCCTATAGTATTTTAATTTTGTTTAGGTTTGGTTCTATAAGCTCTTTGGATAATTAGATGGTAAGTTTTTGATTGATGGTCCATCACGATTACTCCCGAACACATGTTGGTCGTATTTTGAATGAATGTAGTTGATCAGGCTACATTCACCCCGAATACGACTACATACCTGCCCGCGTTTAATCGCGATGTTCAAATCCTCCAAAGACTTTTACTGTTCTTGTTGTGTTATTACTCTAAAATGCACACATAGGTATGTATTTTAATTATCATGTTCAGAGTAGTTTAGTTCCATTGTATTTATAGTTGCATATCTTGTATGATTAGATATGCTAGTTCACTATAGACAATGCTCTGATACCAATCTGTCCCACCCCCAAACCAGACGGCGGAAACGTCCGAGAGCTTGCGCGTGACTTTACCGTAGACTTTAGCGCGTGTTGTGTAGTATCATCACAAAGTATATCATTGAAACATAACATCATAATCACCACACATGTAATATAACAACATTCATTGTTTACATCGAGTATTGTATTTGAATATTACATGCCAAAATAATTGAAGTCTGATGAAACAAAATATAACAAAACATCCTTTAGTTTGTGTGCCCAACCTGCTCAAACGTTTCCTGAGAATCAAGTTAATTTAAAAAGGTCAACATAAAAATGTTGGTGAGTTCATAAGCATGTTTGAGAAAATGATTTGTATAACTTTGTAATCACATGAAAATCCTGTATTTTCTTAAAATTGTTTAGTATGTTTGTGTCCAATCTAGTATTAATGCATGTGTGTTGACGTTTAATAGAATGTCAAAAGTGAATGAAGAGAGTGTAAACAGGATGCCCCCAGACAACCCTATGTTGCCTGTAAAAGAAGAAAAAGAATAGTCTCCTGTAAATTTCATAATGTTATTTCCTCTAAGTGAGCCATCATAACCATTCTAATTGATGACAATTTCGCCTATCTTGGCGTTTGTGGACGCCGATGGAAAATAGAATAAGGTTGTCGTCACCCTAGACTGATGTAGTGTAACTGTAGCAAACAACTCAGAAGTGAGGTGTCATCCCCATATAGATCTATACACAAAACCCTGCTCTCCCTCCAAGAGACTCTGATTATAACTACGGGCTACAATCGTGCACTCAATAGGTGTCAATCGACACGTCTCACTAGTTCCTTAATCGAATTTTACGCGAAGAGAAACATATAAACTCATTCCGGGCCCAATGAACCATGTAAGCGGACCATGGAGTCTCACTAAACACATAAGTCATTTTCAGGCCCGAAAGGAGTGAGATTATATAACATGGGCCCAAAATATATGTAAAATGACAACTAATGCCCATTTCACATATAAGGTATTTACAGGCCCAAATAGCACGAAATTAGTATCCAAGGTCCGTCGCGCATGTTAATGGGTCAATGAGGCCCAATAAACATATAATTAGTATTCAGGACCTATCAAACATATTAATGGGTCATTAAAGCCCAATATTTTACGAATGGCAAAATTAGTCCGTTTGTTATTTTATTGCTAGTAATAGTTCAATTATTTGTCAAATTGACTTAAAAATACCACTTTTGTAATCATACATATATGAGTAAATTACACGAATGGTCCCTATGGCTAAGGGTAATTTGTGCGTTTGGTCCCTAACTTATTTTTTTAACTCGGAAGGTTCCTACTGTTTGTTTTTGTTACGCTCTTGGTTCATGTTTTACCTAAAAAACTTATTTTGCCCTTCATTTTTTAATTTATTTAAATAAACACACCACCAACCTCATCCCCCCACCTTACCTTACATACCCCACCATTTTTCTCTATTTAAATAATAGTATTTTTAGGTAAGATAGGGACCAAGCGCGTAACAAAAACAAACAATATGGACCAATGGCGTAACAAAAACAAACAGTGGAGATTTTCCGAGTTAAAAAAATAAGTTACTGACCAAACGCGCAAATTACCCCAAACCATAGGGACCATTCGTGTAAGTTACTCAATAAATATTAAATGCACATATTTTAACATGTCTAGATGATTTAAAAATATGTATAAGTCATATAAACTTGCATCTAACAAACGTATAAACACTTTTAGTAAGTTAGACCATTTTTTTGATTTTTGGCGTTTACGTCTCTATTTTTAGAAAAATTATAGAAAAATCATTGTAAGTCGAAATTTGGATCCGTCAACTCTGAGAGTTTAGAAATGAGTCTACTTTCTTCATAATTTTTATTATAATTTTTAGTGATCTCAAACCAGTGTGAAAATGTTCATCTTCACAGACTGGTCCGAAGTCCTTCCTGAGATGATACGCAGTTTTGTAAAAATCGCCAAAAATTGTAGAAAAATCTTATTAACTTGTGAGACTAGCCATTTTAAAGGTACAAAACTGAACTTTTTGCATGTAAAACAGTTTTGAAAAATATTTCCATCAAGTTGGTCAAAATAGTCCGTAACTAGACCAAAACTTTTCTGTTAAAAGCTGATTTTTTAGTTTAGGTTGTAGATTTTTGAATACAACACTTGTTTCTGCTATTTTGAGTGTATAAATCTCAGATCTGCAAGTTTACATGACAACATATACTTTTCTCATAGTTTTTATGAAGATCTAAGTGATAAACTTCATATTTTTAACATATTTTTAGATTTATGAAGTAAACAACACATAATCACCAAATAAATCATGAAAAACACACATAGTCATGCATATACACATAGATCTACACAAAACAACTTGTATTCTCCCCCAAAACTTAGTAAAAACTGAAAATAAGGGGTTATGAACTCACATTGCTTTGATGTTTTCGGATTTTGGTGATGAGATGAGTAGATCTCGGCCCTAGCAAGCTTCTTGAGAAGGATTTTCGAACTTAGATGGTTCTAAGAAGCATGATTGACGAAAACATGGGTGTAAGAGGAGTGAATGAGCTTAAAGATGAAGTATATCACTTGGGTTTGTAAGATCTTACCACAATGTGAAGCTTGAAGTGATTCTCTTGAAGATCTTCCTTATACCCACAATTTTCTTGAGAGAAGAAGGAGGGAAAGTGTTGGATGGTTGAGAGAATAATGGCTGAGTTTGAAATGAGAGAGAGATTGGAGAGTGAGAGAGAGGCCGAGAAGTAGATAAAAGGAGAGAGATAAGAGAGATAAGGGAGAGTTGACTTAAGTAGAGGGTGATTTGATGCATGCTTGGATACATGCACTCTTGCATGGATATCCATTAGGTATTAATGAGGTGGCAAGGTTTGATTAAATTGGGTTTTTCTCTTTCTATTATTATTATTTCTTGTTGGGCCGAGAGAGGGGCAAGGAAAAAGGAAATGAGATGGTTTGGGACCTCCCTTGACGTAGTCCTATTTTATGAGGCCCAACATGAATATTTTTTCAGCCTATTGGACCCTTATGAGGGTTCACGACCCAATGAAGCCCAAGGGTGTAGTTTATGGCCCATTAGGGCTTATGAAACTAGTTATGGCCCATCATGGCCCATTAGAAATAAGATGGATCATTCTAGGCTCATATGAGCCAAAATACCTTAATTTCATGAATGTGGGTCCAATTAGAGCCTAAATAGGGTTCCTAGCCCAGAGTAGTCAAATTGAAATTTTATTGGTCCATTTGGCCCAATAAGAGGATCCTAGTCCATAATAAACTTGAACCGGGATTTTTGGGGTTTTAAATCCATAGTTGAACATGTGAGATGTATTGTATTAGTTTTTGAACTCCAATCAAGAGTTTGGATTCAAATAGATGATTTCATGTTAGTATATAGCATGATATTCACTTAGGGTGTTTTTAAAGTAGCTTATGTGTACATGGAAAATAGAATTTCCTAGTTGAAAATGCTAGTTGTGACACATCCTCTCCCGTCAACATGAGATCTAAAGACGCCGATACCTGAGAAGATCTCCAACATCAAGTCAAGAAGAAAAGGAGCATCGCCACGCTTTGCGTCAGGTCAATTCAATATGTATTTTCTGAATTAGCTTCATTTTGTTTTTTATGTTCGTTCAATTCAAGGGCGTAATTGTTGAATTGAGGTAAGATGAAATTGGGGCTTTGTGTTTATACATTGAAGATTTTGTATTTGTTTTATACTTATGATTATGTGATTTTTCTTCGTTTAGTTGGACTATCGATTGGATGATGAGATAAATAACATCTGATCTTATATTTTTGTTGTTTAATTCTAGCCTTTTGATAGATTCAAGACTTTATGGACATCCAGCCATATGTAGGATTATTGAAGTGAACGGAGGTAAGGACTCTATAATGAACAGCTCAATGGTAATCTCATACCTCTAAATACTTTATTATGTAACTTATTATGCTGCTATTTTTTCGCGATTCAGCCAAAAATCTTCAATTTTGAGTCTCCCAGACATTATGGTACCTCATTGACCTGTTCTGCATCATGAAGCAATATTGAAAATATATTTTGTTGTGAAGAAGATGCACAGGAAGTAAATATTGAAAATTTTGAGCTCAACTCAGAGTATTCGGTAAAATTTGGATAGGTTTAAGCATGAACATTTGGTTTTCAACTTTTTATTACTATCCTTTAAGCCTTTGAATGTACTGAAGCTCCTATTATTGTCAATATATCAAATAATTATTCAATGTAAATTTAGGATGAAACTCTTTGCATTATCAGGGTGTATTTGGTGATTCTAAAAAGGATAAGTGGTAGGAAATGGGGCTATCAATAACGAAATCAACAGACATATAAAGTTGCAAGTTAAAATGTTTGGTAATATACTCCCTACAATGAATTAAGCATATGAATATGATTATCTTTGGTTGTTTGGTTAAAATGTTTTATTCAAAGTTTATATATGGTTTTGTATGCTAATGATATGGTTATCTTATTGTTTTTAAAATAATTTCTAGGAATTGTCCCAATGGAGTTGGTGGATGCCTTAACCATTAGTGCTGATTTAAGTAGGCGATTAAGTCAAACCTACATGCCATGGATGGACTTGTTAATGATGATGACATTGATCAATCGGATTTAGAATCTTCTCAAAAAGATGAATCATGGCATGATTGTACTAATTCAGAATCTTCTCAGGTTAGTATATAAAATATTAATAGACATGCATGTTATTAAGAACCGGACTAAAGCTACATGTTTGATCTTAATAGTTGCTAAACTGATGTAAAATGACTTAATGTTTCCTTATGCCCTTTAGCTTAAAGTGCCATATGATATTTATCTAGTAGTTTCTTTATTTGAGTAATTATGTGGTGTCTTTTTACAAGAATTGCTAAACGGATATGTGTTCATGTCCTGGATTAATTGGTCCCAAGTCTTTTTTCAGGTATACAAAATTTACTTGCAAAATGCCCATGAAATCATAACAAATGTCTATATTACACATTGATAGTGATAAGCGATTCATTTTTTCTTGCTACAGTTTAAGTACTTCCTCAAAGATCTAGTGAAATATGATGTACAATATCAAGTAACATAAAAAAAGGGAACAAAAAACAGGTTAGTCTTTTATAACATTATAATATCAGATAAGGCTGCTCTTGAAGTTGAACCTACAGTTGCCCCACTTATAAATAAGAAGAAAAGGTGGTACATGATTGCCAAAGGTATGTACTTTCATCCATTCCAGTTATGATGAACAATAATCTATTATGGGGCATAGTAAAAATATATTTTGTTATCATAAATTTCAATAACATTTGAAAAGTAGTATATGTTTTGCTTTAAAGTTCTTTTATCTTGTTATATAAAACAATATAATGACTGTTACACATTTAACATGCAGTTTAAAGAAAGTAAAGTCTAACTAAAGGCTCCAAAACTCCAACCCCAACCCCAACTACACCTGCTATGATTCAAGCATGCGAGTTTCAATCAAGTCTTGGAACCGAGTTTCCTAGCTGTGTAAAGATGATCGTTAGATCACAAGTTACCTATTATTGCTTTTGGATGGTAATGCCTCTTTCTTTAGCTATTGAACAAAATATTCATATCAATTTATAGTAAATAGTTACCATTGCTTGTTTGATTTTGATTGGTTTTTTAGGAATCTGTTGTTCCCATTGAAGACCATGAATTTGAAGAAAAATATGATGGGAAGGTAAACAGGATTCCGATTCCATATTATTCCATAACAAGGTAAAAAAATTCACGAGTGTCTGTTTTTCATAAAAGCAAGAAACTATCAAATACTTTTTTAAGGATATTACATGTTTGGTCCGCGAGTATAGTTGATTTTTGCATTTTTGGTCCTTGTAATTTTACAAAAGCCAGGTTTAAGATGAATAGTATGATGAGAATGTAAGTAGAAAAATGTTGTTTTCGTAAATTTGGCGATTACAATTGCAGGATATACAAATCTAGTGGTAGATATGCTCAATCATAGATAAAGGTTACTCAAGAAGCAGCACAAGGCAGTAATGAGGCAAATCTTTTTATATTTTATATGGTAAAGATGTTGAATCCATCTTCTTTTAATATCTTGTATAATCCTACTTTTTATATTTTTTTAGGGTTCCATTAAATTTGTGAACAATTTATGTTTATTATTTCATGAGATTAATTTTTGATAAATGGATCATATTATATCTTTACGGTTGACTAGTTTCATGCTTGTTACTTAAACTTGTTAAATATAAAAAATAGTAACAAAAATCAGTGATGAGCTTTTTTCGTAACTAATTGGATAAATCACTGACGACTTTTGGTGGTCAATACTTAGATAAACAAGTGACGAAATTCTATGGTCACTAATCGGATAGGATAGTGACGACTTTTTCTGGTCACTAATTAGATAAAATAGTGACAAATTTTATTGATTACTGACGACATTTAGTGATGAAACGAGTCGTCACAAATTTAGTGACCAGTATATTTCCGTCACTATTTAGTGACCACTTTTATATTTCGTCACTAATCAGTTGTCTTGACGGACCTATAGTGACGAAAAGTGACGACCAAAAGTTTGGTCACTAAATAGTTTAGTGACGAGTCTTTCTATTCTTAGTGACCATTTCGTTTTCGTCAGTAATTGGCATTTTATTTTAGTGAAGGTAAAATTGTACAAATATTTATTGTTTTACATTCCCTCGAGATAAAATCTATAAGTCTAAGAAAGCTCAACGAAAAAAATTCAATTTTATGAAAGGTCTATCGAAAATTTCATTTGGATGATTATTGGATTACTCACACCTGGTGTTTTGATATTTGCACATTATGTTATATTTATTACGAGTTTGCATTTAGTGTATATTTGGATTCCTTTTTTGTTTCAACGCAATGTGAGTCGTAAAACATGTCAAGGACAGTTGAATGAATTTTGATAATCCTGCAAGAAATATAACACATGCACAAACTTCCAATAGACAACTGATTCTTGAGGATCAAGTTTGTTGGTAAATATCTATTGATGGTCGATCATTAATTGCCATAATGGCATAATATAGTATTTTATCAAAATATATTTGTAAAATTGGTCTAAGTTTGAAAACTAATGTTGGATTTAATGAACATACCAAAATTAACTATGGGTAATGTGATAATTGCGTCAAACATCTCTTACATGGTATTTCTCCATGATTAACGCCAAGAAACCCTAGACTCCTCGTCTGATACTATATACTCCACCGTTAAATTTCAATATTCCTCGATAAACAACAAGAGGGAAAAAATAGAAGTGGTAGTTAGGGGTAAAATGGCCATTTTTTACCATCTCACTTTAGTACAATGTTATTTAACACAATTACTTATACCCCACATTATATGCAAAAAAAAGCGACGTTTTTTTTCTGCTATCTCATAAACATGGAAATTGTGGGTGATTTAGAAAAATAATTAGCGTCTTCTTAAGGCAGGGGTATTTTAGGTAGTTAGATTGTTTTAGTTTCTTATTAACAATTCATAATGTTTACAGGTAGAAAGGCAATTGTGTTGCTATTACCTAGCAATTTCTCATATAATTTACAAAAAAAGTACATTGATATATCTATACATTTATATAATTGTATTTAATTGCATTTGTTTACACTTATTTTCATAATAATGTCTACTTCCATAGTTACTTACTTACAAGACATTTGAGTAGTATCACATGATACAATATTTAAGGTTCGAGTGTTGAAGATGTGGAAATTTATACCCAAAATTAGAAAGAAGTGTTATCGATTGAACTAATTATTATGGATGAACAGGTTATGTACAACGTTTATTATTTAAAATTACACAAAGAATATTAGTTGAGAACATGCTATTTTTTTACCATGCACAAAAATTGAAGCTCATGTTTTCAATTGTAACTTCAACATGGTCAACATCTTCTAAATTTAGAGAAACTTATGTAATATAAAATCCAAACTTGGCTACAACAAGTGAAGGTTTTAGTATTACTATCTAAGACCAACAAATTGTGTTTCACTGTTCTTAAGAAATTTTTTGATTTTACGGGTCGACATCATAGTTTTGTTTTTTGTTGACTCTACTTCAATTCTACAAAAAAAAGCTTGCTCAATTGATTTGTGTTATGGTTAGTTATTTTACTTCAATTCTACAATAAACTTGCTCCACCAATTTGTGTTGACTCTACTTCAATTCTACAACAAACTTGCTTGACCAATTTGTGTTATCGGTCATGTCATATCACGATGTACTCTAGACACAGCTAATCCAAATCCATCAAGTCAGAACATGAAGTTGACCTTACACAACATAGAGTGAATTCTTTAACGTTTTTATGTGATATTTCTCATATATATGGTTTTTGCTATTTTAAAGTAATTACTTTTTTATTGTAGGGTAGACTGCTTAAGGTTACTTTGTATGGAGTTCAAGCTCATCAACCATACAATTTTATGACAAAAAACACAAAAAATACTTTGTGTTATTTTAATTAGCCAATTTTCTACACTCAACATATGGAATGGTTTGTGTTATTAGTCAATTATTTACTTCGTACATAAAATGTGTTTTTTTATTTATTTTTTTACTATTTTTGGTGGAGTTTCATCTTATTTTGACGCATCCAATTTGTTTATTAATGCAGACCTTTTTGAGATTAATGAGTACAAGAAAAAGTAATTTCAATATAAAAATCTTTTAATGTTATGCATTACTCTAGATCTTGATCTTGTTCATATTTGAAGTAATCTTTTTTACATAATAACAGATTCGTAGGTGTGGATGGAGGTATAAAAGTTTGTAAGTAGTATAATTGTAATTCCGAGTCAGACTTTTTCTTATAATGATGAGTTCAAGGTGATTATGTGTAATAACGTAAATTTCAAAACAAATTTTTGATTTTAAATCATATAACCTTCACATCACATTTCATAAAACTCGTTTATTTATTTTACAAAACACAATCCCTCGTTAGTTAATTATTAATCCAGGATCTTCGAAACATAATTCTTTCTCTGATGTGTACAATCATGCCAGTGCCGTCCCGCGATTCTGAGGAAACCTGAAACACATAACACATAACACGGTAAGCACGAAGCTTAGTGAGTTCTCAAAAATACCACATATAACACATATTAGCCACTCGAGGCTATAACTCTGTGGACCCTCTGGTCCTAACTCTGTGGACCCTCTGGTCCTAACTCTGTGAACCTTCCGGTTCTAACTCTGTAAACTCTGGAACATACACATCATAAATCACATAGAAATAATGCAGTGCATCACAATCACATAAATATCATACAAGATACTCTGTCATATAACTGTAATTACCACTCTAGGTAAAGTATTGTGAGAAGACTCACCTCGGGTAACTCGGTAAATCTCGAACTCGGTAAAAATCTGGTCTAGCCTCTACCTAATCACATGGAATAAGTACTCTAATCAATACAACTCTCAAGGCTAGACTAATCCCTCTCTTAGCACTCTCAGAAGGGTAAAAGACCCTTTTACCCCTCCCATGGCTCAAAGACCCAAACATTGACCAAACCCTAAAAGTCAACAAAAGTCAACTCTCCGGGTTACGCTGCGCGTACCAAACCTGTATGCTGGGCGTACCCGGTAACCTCATAGAATCGGGGAACGCGACCCCCTACGCTGCGCGTACTGGGATTACGCCCCGCGTAAGTCCCAGTTTCATGCTCCTTTGCTTTTGGGGGCTTAAATGGTTAAGACACACGTCCAACTCCCAGATCTGACAACCCTTAAGCCTCTTAATCCATAAAGTTGGTGACTTTAAGCTTTTGCATGGCTGTAAGAGTCACCAACACCCAAATCATTCCACTTCAAACACTTTAAAGCCCATAACTCAAACATGACTCCCTAATGACGACCAAGTTGGGATTTTTATGGATCTACAACACACATATCACTGAAATGGGACAGATCTAGGTCCATGGAGCCCCTTTTGCTCACAAAGTCTCCAATTTTGGGACTTAATCCCTAGAAATGGACCATGAAACACCAAACCAAAATAAAGAGGAAAGTTATGAGCTTTTTACCTCTAAGTGAAGCTCCGTCCTCTGAAGAACTCAGATCCAAGCTTGAACTCCAAACCCTAGCCTCCACAAGCACCTCTCCTTCTTCTTCACTAACACACGAAGGCACTTTTACCTCAAAACACTCACGAAGGCACTTTAGGACGAAGGAAATGCTCTCTTAGGGTCTCTCTATGTGAAATGGTGGCTGAGGATAAGGCCATATCATTCCTTATATAGTGCACAAGTCTCATTTAGGGTTTCCATCTGGACCCGTTACGCCTAGCGTAACTTTGGTACGCCCAGCGTACCTTAAAGAGTCTGCGACCATTTCAAGCGCATGAGTACGCACAGCGTACTCTCCAGTACGCCCAACGTACTCATTTGTAACATTTTCCACTCAGGGACCAATCTTGACAACTTGAAAAAAGAGAAGGGTTAAATAGTTGTACCTGAATTTCAGGATGTTACAATTCTCCCCCACTTATTTTGATTTTGCCCTCGAAATCGCTCCTTAAACCATACATATATTGAATTCAACAACCCGAATGGCACCACTGAAAGGATCTCATGCCGCACCGAAACTTTTCCATGGACACCTGAAAACACACAGAAAACTCCCAAATCCATAACTAATCCAACCCTTCTGCCTCTAATATACTCCTTCTCAAAATCTGGTAACTCTGGTGGCCGGACAGCCGTCAGATCGCCTACTCAAGCTATCACCATGATATTCATTCCTTGAATATCAAACCCTGATAACTCACTGGTCATTTGATTCTCACAAGACCAATTCCAACAATCAGCTACCGTTCACTCATACCAAACATGCCAAATGATCTGATCACGCCCCAAGAAACGGGAGGGTTCACACCCCACCGGGCCTCATCCACTAAACTGCTATTAGACCCCATCCGAACAAAGAATCCCCAACACTCTGTCCTCAGATATAAGAGAA